TTTGCAGGGAATTAGGAGTTAAAAGCAAGGGAGGAGTAGAAAGAGAGAGAGAGAGGTGGGTCCATGTTGCTGAAACATGCTTCCATATAGGGCAGAACAATGATCAAAAGCATAAGACTTGCAGCCACAGCACAGGGAAGCAAGAGGACGTTTTAAACCGCAACAAAAGGGAGAGAAGAGAATTTTCACTTACATTTAATTCAAAAGTCTTCAAAGCCACTCGAAACCCTCCTGGAACTGGGGGATTCAGTCGTAGAGTCTCCTTAATAACACACCCGATGTATTTAAGTTGTTCCAAAATTTCCATGTCCAACTTGTTGTCTTGATTGCTCTTGCAAAGTAAACCCTATCAAAACAGTCATACAGAGGTGAACAGTTATTTTGTGCTCCAATAAAATCAGCCCGGCAGACGTAAACAGGGCTTAAGTAGAGACTAAACCCAAAGGGCCCCAAGATAGGAGACTGGGAAGGGGAAACAGCAGCTAGTGACCATTTGCCTGCCCAAATCCACTATCTATTTACAATTCCAGGAAAATGCTGCTCACCAGTTAGAAGGGCCAAGCTTCTCCCTGCGCTCCCACCCCCCACCATCCACACTAATCAGCCATTCACACTCATCACACTATGCATACCCTTAGACACACAAATTCAAGAAGGTGGAACCTGTCTGAAAATTTCCACTGTTTGGCAAAAGGTGGAGGAGGGGTAGGAATACAAGGTCAAACCCTGCCCAAGTGGGATCACAGCTCAAGACTCCATCCTGTTTATTCACAAAGCTAATTCTCCCCTCTGGCCCACCCACCCCTTGGCCCTGCACTTTCAAAATACTCCCTGAAAGCAGCACACTGACTTCTTTGAAAGTTGGCTAGGGAGCAGCTGAATTTTCTAAACTAATAAGGACACCCCCAGCCCCAGTCTCCCTACCTTACTTTTCAGCTCTTCTCGCACTTTCTGGAGAACATGTGGGTAGAGTCCCAGGTAAGTGATCAGAGATGTGGCTGCACTGGCCGTGGTTTCGTGTCCTCCGAAGAGGAGTTCTGTTGAAGATTGCTTTAGTGCCTAAGAATAGAGTGAGACCCACGTTTCACAAGTCTGCAAGCAGTTTGACAGAGGGAAGACTAAGACAGAGGGCTAAACGTTTTACTGACAGAAAGTCAAGGAAAGCAGTATCTTTAAACAAAATGCAAAGTCCCTTTAGCTCAGCTAGAGCAGTAAGGCGAGTACGACCCCAATCTATAGCAAACTCCTGAGTTAAAGTCTCAGTTTTATTAAAATAGCAAGGTTCTTTATTAAGATCTTTGCAAATTCCAACTTTCCCTTTGAAACCTGGAAAGGCTAGGGGACGCTCCCAGTTCCGCTGCAGCCCATTCTGCTGCAGCCCCTTCCGCAGCTCTCTCGATCGACCCGGTGGCTGAGCCTTCGGGATGCCATCGCTGTAGTATGGGTGGGCGGCTCACTCCAGAAAGCTGGGCCCCAGGCTGGTGCTTTGGGGACCCCAGGAACCGCGCTTGGAAAGCCAGGGGACTAATCTCCGCAGTGCCTGGTCTGAAGCTGTCACTCACCTGCATGTCCAGCCGCTCTCCCCTCTCCCAAGAGTGCTCGATCAACAGCTGCAGCGCGTCTTTGCAGCCCCGGCTAGCCTCGGATGCCCGCAGTCCACAGATCTTGGCGCGAATGTTCTGCTCGATGCGCGTGTGAATAAGGTTCCGCGCCTTCACGCCCTGAGCGCAGAGAGCGCGCCGCGGTAAGCAGACGCCCGGTTCCCGCGCCCCTCGTCCGCAGCCCGTTTGCCGAGCTTACCCGGTACAGCCCGCTGAAGGGCACGTCGATGGGCAGCGAGAAGAGATTTCGGGTCATTTCCTCGAAGGCCTCCACCAGCTGCTGCTCGGCGTCCCTGTCGCCGGCCAGTTGGGGTTCGCAGCCCAGTAGGATGCGCATGGCAATGCGGAACATGAGGCGCTTCACCTCGGGGTAGACCAGGAGGCCGCGCTCGCCGCAGCTCAGCCACTGCTCCAGGCTGCTGCCCACTTCCTCGATGATCACTGGCACGTAGCACTCTAGTGCCTCGCGGCTGAAGGCCCGCATAATCACCTGAGCCCCAAGGAGAGGAGAGCGTTAAGACCCTCCATCCGCCCCTCTCGTCTCCCGCCGTCCCCTTCCAGACACCCCAAGTCCCGCCAGACACATGGCACTCTCCGGGCTGGAAAAGCTAACCTGGAGCTGGCAGAGGGTCCTAGCCCACCTCACGCGGCTAGCCCGCACCCTGCATCCATCGGCCGGATTCCCTCTCACAAATGGGGTCCCCTTTCCTGTCCAGGCGTCGTCCCCCGCCCCCACCTTCTTGCGCTGCTTGTGCGAGGAGTCGTGCAGGTTGGAGAGGCAGCCAGATCCCAGAATGGTGCGCACTGACGCGGGCCAGTGGACCGACACCAACCGGTGCTCTCCTAGCAAGATGCGCCGTACATTGTCCGCGCCCATCACCCGCACCGTGGGCCGCCCGAACAGATGTGTCTTGTAGATGAAGCCGTATTTCCTGCGCTTCATCTGCAGGAACTTCCTCCGCTGTGGGAGGAAGGCCGTGGAGACAGGCGGGCATGAGGGGGCGCCGGGGAGCGCCGCGCCTCCCTCCAGCCCTGCTCCTAGCCGCAGTCGGCTGCCTCCCGGGGGCGCCTACACCGACTTCAGCAGAAGCCCAGAGCCGCGCCGGCCTCCGGGGAAGGGGCCTGTCCCGCCCCACGCTCCCTTACCTGCAGGACCATCTGCAAGGTTTCCCCAAAGAAGGGGAAGCCCATAGTCCCGGGGGGCAAGGGGAGGGCACAACTGCGGTCGCGGCCGCTCACGCAATACAGGTCCCAGAGCTTGATCGCAGCCAGGAAGAGCAGCAGCGGCAGCACGAAGGTGCAGAGCGCACTGGCCAGCAGCGCCGGGAGCCCCATGGCGCGCCGCGACCTCCCGCGCCACCTGCCGCCACCGCCAGCGCTCCAAACCCCGCGGCGCGGCGGCTTTATAGGCGGCCCAGGTTGCTGCCCACGTTACCTTGGTCAAATTAGTTCACCAAAAGTTCATCTTTAATTGCGGATTGGGCCCCTGGCTCCTCCCCCCGCGAGGCGCTGCCCAAAATCTTTAACCGTTTGTTCCGCGCCGAGGCAGAGGCGGCGCAGTGGCGGCTTCCCTCCGAGCGCGCCTCCTGGGGTGCGGGGCTAGGAGCTGCCCGCCTCCCCCCTCCAAGGTGTGCCGAGCTCAGAGGCGGCGGTGGGGGAGGGCGGAGGCTAGAGGAGCAGGAATTCCAAGCCCTAGCCTTCCCAGCGGTCTCTTTGGCATCCCTCCCACCCGGTCCCACCAGCTGCCCTGGCCCAAAGCAGCCTTCATTGGCTTTCCATTTCCAGGCGCCGCGTGGGCTCCCTTCCACCTGCTGAGGAAGCAAGGAAAAGTCCGTTCAGGAATCGTCCAGCTGCCTTTTCCTGCGGGTGGGGAAACTGAGGTCTAAAAGGGAAGCATAAAGCAGGCCTCCCGACTTTTTAGAAGGATCGCACAGAAGAGCCCAGGGACAGAGTCCAAGAGAGAGCCGCGGGGCATCGGGCGCAATAGGCAGATCTGGGATCCCCAGCTTCCCAAGTGGGCCAGCGCTCGCGAAGTCTTGGAGAGTACTGCTTCAGGATACGAGAGGGCATCAGGTCCCTCAAGTCCCCAGGTGCTACTCTGCACAAGACTCATCCCCGACTCTGGGGCACTTCGTCTAGGGCTCGGCAGTCGGCGCCCCGCTCTGAGATCCGAGCACAGCACCACACTCGCCCCCCTCCTCCCCATTCTGAGAGCTCTGCAGCTTGTGGCCTCAGCTGGGCAGCGGGGAAAGGGTCCTTAGCCCTGGCCGGGAGAGACGGAGAAAGAGGAAAAGGAGTCCTGGCTCCGAGGTCCAGCTCCATCTCTATTGCTCGTGACCTTGGGCAAGTCACCACACATCGCTGCCTGTTTCCTCCTCGTTAACAGGGAGGCGATCGTTCCCGACCTAAGCCTCGGGACAGTGAGTTCCCAAAAGGGGGCTCCAGTTGCAACTATTCTTCCCAGCTCCAGGAACGGTAGGTTGTGTAACCTTGGGTGGCCGGGACAAGGGGCACTGGAGTCCTCCTCTCCCAAGTCCCACCCAGAGTAAAGTCACTGTCCTCACCTAGGTGAGAGTGTGCTCGGCCCGAAACTCAGGCCTTTGCCGACCCCTAATAGGAGGGGGGAAGGAATCCGTACTGGGAAGTCTTCAGTACTTTGCTCAACTACAATCACCTTCTACTGTAGCCAATGACAGGAGCTCGGACGCTGCGGGACGCGCACCTGCGCTCCCGGCTCTACACCTGGCGGAGCCTCCCGGCTCGGGACCGGTCAGGGTCACACGGTCCCTGGGTTTGGGCGCTGAACGCACGAGCGGCGCCGAAAACGAAACAGAATGACGTGCGTTTGTTTAGAACTAACACTGGCTCTGGGAGAAGCACGCCGCACGCCTTGGAGAGCGTCCCTTGGAGATGGAAAACTGCTCCTGAGAGCTTAAATGCGTTGCCCTTCTCGCGGTGGTCCCCAAACCCGGAGGTATCAGGAAATACCTGCCGAGGTCGTAGGGGCCCGCACAATCCTAGCGACGCTCCAAGCCGGAGTCGCCGCCACAGGGCATGTTTGTGGGGGGAGGAGGATCAGCGTTTCCCCGCAACCTGCCTAGTGTTTCAGAGGCTCTGGGAAGGGTTTCAGTCTCTGGCAAACGATTTGGTGGCTGTAAATACGGCGAGCCAACCTCTGGCCACCGCAGGAACCCGGGCCAATAGCACTGGAGGTTATTCTCAGAAATCCCGGGTCCGCCCCTTTCTGGACAGCGCCTCCCGCCGGTGTGCAAAGCGGGCGAGCGGGGACGTGACCTGGGGCCCATTCCCAATCCTCGGGCCTGACCCGCCTGTGACCCCTGCAGGCCGGACCGTGACATCCGAGTGATCTCTGCGGGGCCACCTCGCCAAGTTCAGCGCACGCCGGGTCACAAGATGAGCTGGAAATTGCCGCAGGGGGAAAAAATGTTTTAATCTATCTGTCCATCGAGGCGGCGGGGATGTCAGACAGGAAAGGATTAAATGTGAGAGTGAATGATCTTTAAAGAACATCTTGAAGGGGGCAGGGCGGGGGGGGGTCAATAAATTACCAGCCCAATAGGAACTTTGATCTAGGAATCTTGCCAAGCTTTCGTGGGTGGTGGTGGGCGGGGAGGGGGGTTGGTTCACTGAAAAACAACTTGTTTCCAAGATGTTTACAAAACAGCCTCCCTATTGCTAAGGGGCAGGGGTGGGGAGTCGGGTTGTTTTACTGGTGGGGAGGAGTGAGGGCGCTGGAGTCACAGCAAAGCAGGCCACCTCTACTTTTCTCGTTTCAGCCCCCCTTCTCATTTCTGAACTCAGGGTTTTATACCTGCTGTTCCCTCTGCATGAGGCACCCCTCCCCCAGGCCACTGCTGGCTGGTTCCTTCCCAAGTCAAATGTCATCTCCTCCAAGGTTCCCCCCCACCCACCCATCCAGCCTAATTTAGCCGCAGACACTCTGTACCACAGGCCTGTTTTATTTCCATTACTGCGCTTATCACCGCTGGACATATCCTTACTCTTTTGTTTGCTAGTTTATTTCTTGTCTATCTCCCTCTGAGCATGTCAAGTGCAGGGGGGCAGGAACCTCCTCAGCTCCTTCCCTAGAGAATCTGCAGCTACTAAGACAGGAGCTCAGCTATCCCTTGAAATTACTGAGCATGATGTACCCATGGAAAATTAAAATTGGAGCCACTCCCACAGAGGCTTAGAGTTAGTCCAGACCCCAGAGCAGGTCTACCAGGTCTTCTTGGAACCAGCTCAACTGGCCTTGCTTCTGAGGGTCCCCACCCCATTCTTCTCTCCTCTCTCGAAATCACATCAAACCGGAAGCCTGAGTCCTTCTCCTCATCCAAACCCTTGCTTCTCAGGCCAGGCTGTCTTCTGCATCCTCAAGAGTCCTCTTAGGGCAGGCCCATAGCCTGCCACCTTTGCTGCCCCTGGTGTCTGCTGAGCTCAGGGCCTGGCGCCAGGCTCTTGACTGGCAATGGGTGATGAATTGCCCTGTATGGGGGTTATGGCAGAGTCAGCCCAGGTCGGAAGGGCCCGCTTCACTCTGGAGCTACCATCCCTGTAAGCGCCTGCTGTGTCCCCCGTCCTTCTGGCCAGGATCCACCTTAAGCATAAGGTCAGGAGGGCACTGGCTTCCTTCTGGTTCACTAAGGGGTCAGCTCCAGCCTTGGCGGCTACTTCCCTGGCTCACCGGTTAGGTCCAGCTGCCCCCGCCTGTCAGAAACTGGGTGGCAGATTGAAGTGGGCTGTTGGGAATGACGACATAGAGGCTTTTGCTTTGATTTACACACTGTTTGGAACCTCTGTACTGGAACGGTTGAGAGTCCTCAAGTCAAGCTAGGGCTTATCATGAAAAGGAGGCCAAAGGGTTCAGCCCTACTTGATGGCTGCAGGAACAGAGGTTGGGGCAGAATAGTGAAAAAAAGGGGTGGGAAGAGCACTGGCTGGGGAGTCCAGGAGCCTATTGCTGGGCTTCTCAGGTGAGTCATTCACCTCGATTGCTCCTCAATTTCTCCTCTGTGATAGGGAGGATGGTGAAGCAGTAAAACCAGAAGTCCCTGAAATGGCAGGGAGGGGTAAGCACACAGGGACTGGAGTCACAGGAAAGCAGTGACTCCAGGGCGCAGTGGCTCACGCCTGTAATCCCAGCACTTTGGGAGGCCAAGGCAGACAGTTCACTTAAGCCCAGGGGTTTGAGACCAGCCTGGGTGACATGGTGAAACCCTGTCTCTACTAAAAATAGAAAAAAATTAGCTGGGCATTGTGGCACATGCCTGTAGCTCCAGCTACTCCCAGCTACTCGGGAGGGTGAGATGGGAGGATGGCTTGAGCCCGGGAGGCAGAGGTGGCAGTGAGCTGGTCATGCCACTACACTTCAGCCTGGGCCACAGAGGGAGATCCTGTCTCAAAAAAAGAAAAAGAATAAAAAAGGTCCCTGAAACCTGGAGACAATTCACAGCCCAGCTTCAAAGTGTTATACTCAGAGGGAAGTCAGGGGAGCCCAGGCCCCAGGCTGCCCAGCTCTCAGCTCCTCTCTGGGTATACTCTGGTGGGTCCTTCCCCGGCCTTCCCAACCCTCACCCCAGTGCCTTCCCCCCAGGGAGCAGCTGCCCAGCTAAGCCCTACCCTCCTCACTTAACCACTCCTAAGACACTTTATTTCTTGGCCTTCCTACTTTTGATACAAATATCTAAACCTTTCTGATTATGTCTCAACTTCCCATGAACCTAATTCAGCGTTGGAGATGTGTTGGTGTGCCTAGTCTCTATATACATGAGAAGATTAAATACGTTCTTGAAGTAGGAATTTTTCTTTTTAAGAAGTCACCAGCAGAATCCAGTGACCTTGAGCCCTTTAGAGCCCTGGAAGTGCCCACAGTTCCGTGTTCCCACGAAGACCAGCAGAGTGGCCAAGGCGCACAAAGCCGGAGGCCAGCTTCCAGGGTGCCTTCCTTCGGGCGTCCTCTGTGTTTTTCTATGCCCCAAAGCCAGGCCAGGGTTGCGCCCACAGCTGCATCTGGCTTCTCTACATGGGTTGTAGGTCCCACCGCGTGTTCGGGTCTCTTTGCAAGGTCCTCGAGTTGCAATATCCCTACTCCCCTACCACCCCTACCCCGCCTTCGCCATCCATGCACCCTCCCAGGATTGGCTCGGGAAGGGGAAGTCAGGCAGCACCTAGTGGGGATCTATCTATTCCCTCCATTCCTGCTTCGAGAGCCTGTAAGCTTGGCCCACGACCTTTCCTTCCTCTGGGCGCGGCGCGCAGAAGGCACCTTCCCATGGGCTTAGATGCTTCTCTGCCACAGCAGCGGTGGCGAGCTCCTCTTCCCTCGAGTCTGGCACACATTCGCGTTTGGTGAACGTTTGTTGAACGATTGTTTCACGAGTGAACGAGAGGGTGCGCGACGCTACAATGGGGAGCTGCAGATGGGTGGCGCTGCCTGCTACAGCCACTGGCCAAGCCGTGTCCTACAGTGCAAGCAGGTCAGAGGCATAGCCCATCCCCCGCAGCCGAAGGCGCGAGGGGGTGGAAAAAGAGCCGCAGCCCGTCCACTGGGTGCACAATGGGCACCGTCTGCATTGCGGGGAAGGCGGGTGTGGCCAGCTCCCAGCGCGCGGTACGCACCAGCTCCACAGCTAGCAGCTGGAGCACAGCCTGCGCCAGCTCCTGGCCGAGGCAGCTGCGCGCACCGCCGCCGAACGGGATGTAATGGAAGCGGCTGCAGCTGCCCCTTGAATCTTCGCGCGCTGCGCCAAAGCGCTCCGGGTCGAAGCCTTCGGGAGGGCTGCGGTAAACCGCAGCCGTCTCGTGCGTGTCTCGGATGCTATACATCACGCTCCAGCCCTTGGGGATCTGGTAGCCCTGCGGAGAGGCGAGGAGACCAGCCTGACCACTGGTAACTGGGGGCCCTGAACCGACCCTCCACCCCATCAGGCTTCCGAAACCCAGGAGGAAACCGCGATTAACCCAGAAACCAGGAGAAAGCTCTGGGTTCCAATCTCAACTCCTTCATTGGTGAAATGTATGACCTTGGACTAGATGTGCAGTCTCTGTTTTCTCATTGAAAAAATGAAGAGGAAAATGCCCACTTTTTTGGTGAGGATTCAAATTAAGAAGTTGGCACATATGAGTGTTCAGTAAACGGGACCTATTAGTTAGGTCCCCGTTTGGTTTTGTCTTTTTTCTTCTGACCTTGGATCAGGAGACCTAAATTCTAGTGCTGCACCTACCAGCTGCTAGGGTGGGAGAAATGCACATGACAGTTCCTCGAGGTCAGTTCCATTGTAGCGCTCTTCTTTGCCCAGAGCTTAAAACCTCCCATCCTTCCCATCTATCAGCTGGACAATAATGTTCAGATTTGGTACCCACACTTTAAGAAGGTACACATGAGAATCAAACTGGCCTGTCCTGAAAATGTTGGAAGGCAGCTTTCATGTTCCCTCTGCCCATCCCCAGCTTTTTCAACCATTTGGCTTTTTGATATGCCTTCCAATCCCCGCACCACACTGCCACCCTCATATCAAGTTCCAGGGTGAATACTCAAAACTTTCTAATCGGAGAACAGAATATCTTGGAATCATCCCAGGAGCTCTCTCTCCTCTCTGGACATCAGTGTTCTGGGAACTGGAGGGTGGCTAAGACCCTTTCTAGTCCTCTGCTCATCTCCTGGTTCTGTGCCCTCCTCCTGCTTCCCCTAAGGTCATGGAAGGCATTTTGGTGCCTGCAGAATGAAGCTTGCATTCCAAAACTGAGTCCCCATCCAAGACACTTCTCATCACCATCTTTGTCTGAGTCTGCTCTCTCTGTAGTGACCTCTCCCATCCTAACCTTTCACTGCTCCAGTTCAAATGCCAGTTCTCCAAATGTGTTGGTGGCATCCAACACTAGAGATCACTCTCTTCACACCGCAAGTGGGATGAGGCTGTCGGTCCTGGTCCCCTCCCTCTCCAAGTGGAGTTCCTCCAGGGCAGAATCTCAGTTCCTTTGATGCCTCCCTAACCCTGGCACACAATATGCCACAAATGTTCACTGTGGCAGGAGGTGCCCATCTTTGCCTGGAGCCACCCAGCCACCAAGCAGGGGACTGCAGTGACAGCCTTTCAGGCAAACACCCACTGTTTGGCACAGCCAGAGCCCCAGTGCCTGAGGCCACCACAGTACTCCCACAGCCCGGCCCCACCTGGCTGGAGTGTCAGAGCTGGAAATGACCAAGACAGCTTCCTTGCAGAGAGTAAACCGAGGCTCAGAGTGAAGAGGGAACTGCACAGGGTCGTGCGGAGATGGAGTCAGTTCTAGACTTTAACCTTGCTCAGCCCAAACCAGCCTGATCGGTATTTAATTCTCCCCACCCCTGGAATCTGGCCCCAGCAGGAACCCTGGACGGGTTGCAATGAGGGGTTCCTTGATCTTGTGAGGGAGGCAAAGGGGTAGAGTACAGGACGTACTGAGGGGTTCTCTTTGTTCTCCATCGACACTCACTGGCTGGGAGGGGGTGTTGCATGGATAAAAGCGTGTTTTTTATTCTAAAACTCCGCTCTCATTGAGTTGACTGGTGTGGACCGCCGCCAAGAGCTGAAGTGTACGAGATCCCTAAGCTCGCTGGCTGGCCAGGGTTTGGTCCTTGGCCCAAGATCGGGGAAGTGAAACTAGGCTCAGCCCATTTTACAGGACTGAAGGCTGAGGCTCAGAGAGCAAAAGAGGAGACCACCCACCTAAGTCCCTCCGCCCTCCTCCCACCTGGGCGCCCGGCAGGCGGCAGGAGGCCGGCTGTGGGCGGGCGAGGCGCACTTACGTCGAGCTCGAAGGTGCACAGAGCGGTGCGGTAGCCCCCGGACACGGGCGGCAGGAGGCGCAGCACCTCCTTGACCACGCAGTCGACGTAGCGCAGACGGCCCAGCGCTGCGAGGCTGAGGTCCGGCTCGCAGTCGCAATCAGGCAGGGGCCCCGAGCCGCCTCCCGCTGCCCCAGGTGCGCAGCCGCACGCGCGCCCCAGCCCCTGCGCCACCAGCTCCTCTCGGATCTTGGCGATGGCCGCCGGGTGCTGCAGTAGCAGCAGGACGAGCGAGGTGCTGGCACTGGCCGTGGTGAAGAAGGCGGCGAAGAGGAGCTCCACAGCCGACTCCTGCAAGACAGCCCCGGGCGGCACTGAGTCTCCGGCACCTGGGCGCTGACCCGACGGCCCCGCGGAGATGAAAGGCAAAGCCATAGGCAGAGAAGTGCTTTTCCTGCCGCGACTATGTGCACGGTTTTGAAGTGGACTAAATCCCAAGTTCGCCAGTTGGGAAAGTCACCTATAGCAACTGACAAAAAAATTAGGATCTATCCACCCGCCTTGCGATGGTTCACAGAGAGAATGCGGGAACTTACTCTGTGCACTCTCCTGGTGCTTTAAGAATCTTCACTCATTGGGTTCTCACCTCCCCTCCCCTCTGTGAGGCACAATTGCTGCTCTTGTTTTATGGAGTTGAAAACGGAGGCTCCGGAGACGTGCTCAGGGTCCTACAGCTAGCACTCGCAGCTGCAGCCGGGCTCGGCACTCTTAACCACCTGTGGTGCTGCCTCCAACCCCAGGGGAGCAGCCTGACAATGGCTGCAATGCAACAAAGGCATCTGCAGCAGCAGCAGCGCCAGCCTCCTACCAAAGCCAACCTCACCACTTCATCCTCTCCTTACCGCAGTAGTCCCAGGAGTCACGAAAGGTCTTCCTGGTCTGCTCTGCCCAAGAATGGCAGAGGAGGGGCCTGGTGGCTTCATCCTCCAGGCTCAGTGCTGACTGCCTGCCTCTGCCCTCTCAAGTCCCACCCAGTGTCTTCCTTGCTGGCAGCACCCACAGTTTGTTTTATACACTGATTCACGCTATCACAGGATGTACGTGTTCCTTCCCCTCCTGAACCTCGAGCACACCGGCTGTGTTTCACTCACCAATGTATTCCCAGTCCCAGCGTGGAGCCTGGCACTGAATAGGTGCATAATAATATTTGTGGAATGAAAGACCCGGTTGCCCACTAACCTTGCCCTGCACCAGACAAGAGGGTAACTGGGATGGAGACTCCAGAGACCCCAGCATCCTCCCTGCCCAGCCCCTGATGTCCAGGCCAGAACTGAAGATTCCTGGCCAGTGAGTCCCTTCCTGAGAACCTGGAGGGTGCTATCACCCCTACCCAGCCCTGTCCACTACTGTTTACTCTGCTCCCCTTAGCCCAGAAGAGTCCCTGTCCACCTGGCTCCCCGAGGACTCATGAGTCCATTGCTCATGTTCTTTTTGTTTGTTTTTGAGACGGAGTCTTGCTGTTGCCCAGGCTGGAGTGCAGTAGTGTGATCTTGGATCACTACAACCTCCACCTCCTGGTTTCGAACAATTCTCTGCCTCAGCCTCCCAAGCAGCTGGGATTATAGGCACCCACAACCACATCCAGCTAATCTTTGTATTTTTTTAGTAGAGACAGGGTTTCACCATGTTGGCCAGGCTGGTCTCAAATTCCTGACCTCGTGATTCACCCAAAGTGCTGGGATTACAGGCGTGAGCCAATGCGCCGGGCCTGCTCATGCTCCTATTAGTTCCATTCTCAGAAAAGAAGCTAAAGCTGAGCCCCACCCTTCAGGGATGTCTGGTAGAAAATGGGAAACTGAGGCCCAGAAAAAGGATGGGTGGTAGTTGCTGATGGAAGATTGAGGTCTCCCGATTTCTAAATTCCCCTCTCCCAAACCTCACTCCTTTTTGGGTGCTGAAATGGGTCCTGGGGCCATTCCAAAGCTTCTCCCCTCCCCTCCACTGTGTGTGTGATGTGTGTACATGGGGAGGGGTCCTAATTCTCCAGGAGATCCACAGCAGCCAGCCAGACAGATAGAGGTGCCAAGTGCCAAGGTAGCTCATAGAAGGAGAGACGTGATTTTGGAAGGAAGAGGGGAGCTTTGAGGATGTGGAGTTTGATCCTGAGCCTCTTAGAGTTTGTACAAAAATGAATGATGAGGGCTTTGTAGGCAGGGGGACAGCAGAGGCAAAGGCATAAAATGGCAGAGAAGTGGGTGGGGAAAGAAAAGGGGAGAGAGCCGTTTGTGGCCAGAAACATACAAAGATGGGCCTAGGATTCTTGCCTTCAGGTCTCCTACTGACAAGGGTGGCAGGTGGCTGTAGGCTGCACAGCTAATGAGTGTGGCTGAGACATGACTGAAGCCCAGGTCTCCTCTTTCCCCTCATCTGAGGAGTGCCTCTGCCTCAAAGTGGGGATGTGGCTCTGGGGATGCAGTGCTGGTGTAGGGACCTGCTGGGGATGCAAAAGATGGGGGAAGGAACAACCTCCAAGCCCCTACCTTCAGCTCCTGCATGGAGGGCTCGTGGCCCAGCTCCCTTGCACTGTGAATGATCAGGTCGAGGGCATCACCTGGCTCTGCAGCCTTGTCCTCATGAAGCTTCTCATAAATGGCCCCCTCCAGGTGCCGATGCAGCTGGTCCCTTGCCCGGATGCCCTGATGTGCAGGGAGAGAAGAAAGATGGGGCAGGAAGACTAAGGGGGACAGGCCTGGCCACTTACCCAGAAAACCTTCTCAGCTCTGCCAACATCCTGGTGATAACAGCCTTCCAGCTTAGCTCCTGGCCTGGCATATGGCAGGGTGCAGTAAATGGTTGGGGAATATGTCCACTGTCCACAAACATCATTCTGTCTTGATTATCACAAGCCCCCTCTGAGCCACGGCAGAGTTTACTGTCATCCTGAGGAGAAGATGCTGAGGTTCAGAGAGATCAAGCAATTGCCCAGATTCACACAGCTGTCCTTGACCATGCCTGGCACCAAGCCCAGTGTGGCTAGGGTCAGCCCATTGCCCTTTCCCTGCACTAGGCTCAGGCTGGGGCACCTTGATGCCCCCAGCAAAGCTCTGACTTAGAGGACACTATTGGATGTTGTAAGCATTAGCCGTGTAAGGGCACGGGCAAGAGGGGATGCCTCTCCAGAGTTCAGGGAACAGCCACAGCAAAAGCGTCCCCCAGGTAAAGCACTGTAATTCAGCACTTCAGTTCTGTAGTCAGAGGAGATGGGGTTCAAGTCCTGTTTCTGCCCCTACTAACGGTATGATCTTGGTTAAGTCAATAAAATTAATTTGGTCAATAAAATGAGAATAATAACACTTTGCAGGCTGCGATGATTAGATCAGAAAATGTATCTACGGTGATCAGCCTATAGCATGAGCTTTCATACATATTTTTATGCAGGTGACTGAAAATCGGGGAATCAAACTGCGGGAAGTCCCAGAACAGGGGGACCAAAAGGCGGGATGGGGCATCATAACTACTCTGCGGTCCCGCCCATTTCTCTGAAGTCTAGAGAGGTAGCAGTTCTCTGATCTGGAAACCTAGGGGGCCCAGGGCCGGTGGAGCCGACACCCGTTCCCCTGGGTCCGGGGCTGGCTCCGGGCTGGTTCCTGGTTCGGGGCGCATCTGCAGCCCTCGCGCTCTCCACGATTCCGCAGCCATCGGGGCTTCAGAAGAGGTGATGAAGGCCGGACCCGGAGACGCCGCTGTGGGAACCGGTCAGACCGACTGGCCGGAAGTCTGCCACTGAGACTCCAAACTCTGGCGGCCCGAGCTCGCTCAGGCTGGAGGATGTAAGGGCAGGAGCGTCCCACGGAAGGCGTGTGGCCCGCCTCGGACCACACAAGCGAACCAGCACAAAGGCCAAGTCCAGAGCCCACAGCCGCGCCACCGCCACGATGCCGCCCACCCCGAGGCCGTGCCGCCGTTCCCCAGCAGAGGTGACAGACGCGCGGAGTGCGCGGAGGGTGCCCCGTCTGGGTCTGGGAGGCCAGCCTGCATCGCGGAACCTCGGGAGAAGGTCTGGAGCTGGGGCGGCCGTACCTTGCGCAGACCACTGAAGGGCACGTCCAGAGGCAGTGAGAAGAGGTTCTCCACGAGCTCTTCGAAGGTCCGGGCCAGCGTGGCGCACTGAGCCTCGTCCAGCCGCAGCCCCAGCAGGATGCGCGCGGCCATGCGGAAGGTGAGCGCTTTGGCGGCGTCGTAGACCGAGACCGGCCCGCGCGTCGCACACCAGGAGCGCACCTCACGCCGCAGCGCCCCCTGCAGGCGCGGCACGTAGCGCTCCAGCGCGGCGCGGCTGAACACGCGTGCCAGGACCTGCGGGAGCGCGCGTGATCAGCGCTGGCGGCGGTCGGGCCTTCTCTGCTTGGCGATTCCAGAATAGCCAGTAGGCCTGTCCGGTCCTTTCCCCTTCTTCTAAGCGGCTCATACCTACACTTGCTGGCTTTTGCTTTCGCCATTTCTCCCAGTTCTGCTCTGATGCACATAATCCCTCCCATCTAGGCTCCAGCTGCCATCTCCTCCAAGAAGTCTTCCCTGGCCCCTCTCTAGGTCTGTCTCCAGCGCTTCAGGTATCACAGCCACAGAAGATGGGAGACGAAAGAGCCCTTTAGCGCAGTCCTAACTTTATAAATCGAAGCTGAAGGTAACGGACCCGCCCAAGGCCACCAGCTCCTTATCAGGCACCTAGGTCAGATTCACAGTGAACGCAACACCGGGGACCCGGCCTGACCCATTGCAGATGCCGGGGATCGCGGATCCGACATTTCCATGGCCCATTCCCGTTTCCACTTACCTTGCGCCGCCGCCGATGCGGATCGCCGACGGCACCTAGCAGTGTGTGCTCGCCCAGCAGGATGTGCGCGCTCTGAGGCCACTGGCTGCGCACCAGGCGGTGCTCGCCCAGCAGGATGGTGCGCACGTTCTCCGCGCCGCTAACGCGGATCACTGGCCTGCCCAGCAAGTGCGTCTTGAACACTGTCCCATAGCGCTCCCGCCGAGAACTGTGGAAGCGCGAGCCCTGCGAGCGAGGCCGAGCGAGGAGAGCTGGAACCTCTGGGCCCAGGCTGGGGATCTGACCCAGACCTCCCAACTGCCTTTTTGGTCACAACTCCCTGCCCCTGGCTGCCCCCGGCTGGCGCATTTACAAAACAAGATCCCCAATGGGCCTGACAACTACTCTATGGTAATGTACATGCTCCTGCTCCTATTGGTGAGATGAGGAAACTGAGGCTCAGAATGAAGACGTGAGCGCCCAAGGACTCACAGCTGAGACAAGCCCCAGGCTCCTTTTCTAGGCTTGCAGCACACGCTCCTCAGACCCCTTCCTAAAACCCCTTCCGTTTACCGCCTGCATTGTGTCAGGGAATTGCTCTAGGGAGAATTCCAGTGACTTGAGGTCCCTTCGAGGGAACGGAGTAGGTGGGCAAAGGCGATGAGTTGTACGCGCTTCCTGGGGTCGTGGGTGATGAACAGGGACTGGCTACAAATCCCGTGGGCATTGGGAATGAGGTGGGTCCAGTGGGAACCGGGAAAAGAAGAGATCATATAAGCGCTCGGGGTTGAACTACTGCTCACCTGAGCTAACCAGTGCAGCGTTTCGCCGAAGAAGGGCCAGCCCATGGAGCCCTTGGGCAGAGGCAGAGTGGAGGCCCGGTCCCGGCTCAGCATCCAGCGGAGGGTCCAGAGGTGCTGGGCTAGGCTGAGCAGCAGGCCGGTGCACAGGAGAGCAGTGCCAGCCGCCCCCAGCACTGACAGGCAGCTCAGCCCCCAAGGGAACATGATGAGCCCGCAGGGTCCAGGCCGCTCAGAGCGCAGGGGGCACAGGGGACGCAAGAACCGCTGGAGCAGTGCGAAGTGCTCACCTGTTCCGTCCAGAGAGTCTGGAGCTTGGGGGCCAAGCCCGAGATTTATAAGCTCGGCCGAGAACTCCGTTCTAAAAACAGATGGGCAGTGGTAGACGGCAGTGACTGTGCGCCCTTAGGAAACGTGCCTTCCTCGAGGCCGGAGAGCTCAGGACATTTTCCCAGTTCCTGGGCCCAAATGCCAGTCCCTCTTGAAGATGCCCGCTGCCTCGGTAATGCTCACACCCCGCGGCACCTCCCACCTCCTCCCGGGCTCAGCACTCTTTGGATAGAAGCAGCGAGGGAGGGCGAAGAGAGGAGCAACTCACCAATGTTGCCAACCTGGTCTGCAGACCCCCGCCCCAACCCTCCCTCCTCCAGTCGTTTAACCCTTCTCGGCCCATCCTGGACATGTTTATATAGATATTGGCTCCCTCCCTAAGGACTGATACCGGGTCACACAACGTGACGTGTTTTGCGTATTTAAAGCGCTCCACGTAGAGTGGTGATTGATGGCGGTGGGCAGCGGCACACTCAAGGTGGGTGCTCTGAGTAGGGAGTGGCAGCTGCTGGGGTGCTTGGGCTGGGCTCGGGGCTCGCTCGGCGCACGTCCTCGGGCCGGACCTGCGGGTTCGCACCAGAGCTTGCCGGCTCTTCGCAGCCGCTCAGAAAGTCTGCGAACCCAACGGGCAGAAAAGACCCGGGCTTGTGCCCCGCCGCGCTCCTGGCCCACCCCGGCCGCTGACTCTGGCTCTTTCTGCGATCCCCGCCCTCAAGCTTCTAGGTGTCCCCCTCTCGCCACTCGAAGGTGAAAGGACTAGGCTTTTTTCTCCTTTGCTCCTACTATTTTCAGGGAAACTGCGGTAGCCGACGCCCGCGTTGGCTTAGCAAGAGCCCACTAGGGATAGCGGGGACGAGATTCTCCGAGATCCTCCGACAGCTCCCCACTTCTCCCGGCTCTCTGATGTATCACGTCAGGTATCCTTCCATAGATGCCAGTTCCACTGCTGCCCTAGGCTTCATAAAGACGCCCTAAGCCTCCAGAAGTGGATACCCACGAGCACCTTTCCGGTATCAAGGACCGAATTCATCCTTCCCTTCCTCCCTCGAATCTGCCCACGGACTCTTGTTAGTCTACACTGTTGCATTTTTGGCTTTGTGCGTCCCATCCAAACGTTCCAAATGCCTCAGGACTCACTCGTCCTCGTCCCTACAGCGCAACCTGGGGTGTGCGGAAAGGTGCAGGGTGCTTGTATTATTGGGAAGAGTAAGAGGACCCACAGAGGTCTGCTCCAGGCAGTGCAAAGACAGCATCTCTCTGAATCCCGGGACCTCTCAGCCAAAGCAGGGGAGACACCCAGGTAGGCTGGAGGGCTGGGTAAAGCGCAAGGGATAGCCACATTCCAGTCTTCATAAAGGGCTAGCTGTTCACCATTCCTCTCTTCCAGATTTTACTGTGCCTGAAGAATTACCACGCTTTTCATGTAATGTCTTTAAAAACATGAAATACTGTGGATTAAAAGATGATCAAGAGAACAAGTGCATATATATAATATATATTGTTATATAATATATATTATTTATATATAATATTATATATATAGTTTGCTTTGGTGCCACTCCCATTCCAATAAGTAGGAAACAAGTGCTTTTCTCCAGGAAGCACTTGTTTTAAATCAGCAAGCTCTTTATAGACAAAACAGCAATGTATTTTCAACAACTTGCTCAATATTTTTAATATTTCATCACAAAATCCAGAGATGTACCTATAATACTTTACACTTATTTTACAGAATCAGGCATGGTTTCTTACAGGCATAAATCCTGAAAAGTCAAAAGGGAAGACTCAGCATAAATACAACAAAAGGAGAATAAAGACTGGATTTATATTGCCATTTGGACCACAGAAACATACACAAAAGAAAATGTACATTTGTTTTAGGTTTTCCAGAGTTCATTTGGTTTGGCTTGTTTCCACAATGAGGATACAGTACTGAAATCTGCTATTTGAAGAAAGTAACCTGACCCCTGTGGTAACTTCCGTGTGTAAGAACCATCTACCCCCACACAAGCTGCACCTGAAGTGGTTAGCCCCATTCTGTTCCTGTCCTCTCTTTTAACTGGAACCAAACCAAACAAATCCAGAATGGGGTCAGCTACAAGCAATATAGTTAGAAATATTAACCCTGATGAACAGAAACAACACTGCATCTTTAGAAAATCCAAAACCTTTTGTTCATATTCAGAATGATTAAATTAAACCACCCAAGTAGAACAAATAATTCACATTCTTACTGAGTTAAATCAAGTTTGATTTCAGGAAGCTTTAAAGATTTGTCTATTTCCCCCTCAGAATTAGCAGAATTAGAAATTTTGGTCTGCTTAAATCACACTGAGGTGAAAATGAAAGCTAAAAGTCAGAAAATGGTAGTGAAATACTACCATATCAGACATGATTGCATTCCAAAGCCATATACTAATCAAAAAACAGATTATCATTCAAGTCTAAATAGAAAAAAAAACTTATGAGTTAGAGGCATAAGTTTTTCAAATGTATTTGTAATCAGTTTCATGTACACTTTTGAGAATTTACGTATTACACTTCTGCATTTTTCCCCTAAAGTGAAAAAGTGGTCATTTTTTCCATATATAAAATAGTATTCGATTATTTTAAAATTCATACAAATGATATTTATTAATATTTCTTGTTTAAGCCCTCCTGTATCTTCCCTATTGTATTTTTGGATTCTGTAAACAAATTACTATATCATGACCAATACTTGCTTGAGATCCATGTTGAATCATGGATTTGATGTCACTGAGTTCAAGCGACATGAAGTCTATGTGTGCTGGGACATACCATTCACCAAACTTCTCAGCTGTTTCACAACCGTCTCTATCAGCTTCTGTTTGTCTCGATCATTCTTCCTGAACTGAGCAAATATGTTGTTCTTTTTGCTAGTATCCTTCATCCTAGAAATATATGTGAATGAAGAAGCTTAGTAAAAGGAAATTAAAAGCTAAGCTGTCACAAGTTAAATATCTTGGCATGCTCTGAATTATCTCACACTAATCCTATGCTTGAAAAATATACTTCAAAGAAAGCAGGTACTAAATAAATATACAGATATAGCAACCATGCAAAATATTAGAAGCTTTATTTTACATGCTATATTAAGTGGTATTTTTGTATTAGTATATACATCTAAGATATGCTAGGTTTGGTACTATCACACTATTTTCTAATATTACTCCACAAAGTATGCTAAAATACATACCCTCTATAGATTCTGCTAATCACATTCATAGCAAGATAAGGTGAAAGGAAAATAGCATTAGAAAATGTAAAACAGTAACGTTTTTGGCTCAGTTGCATTTCATGGCATTGTAAAATAAATTTACATTTATTTTAAACACTTCCTCTTATCCATTCAAATCAAATACACCACAGATATTTGGAAATACAAGAAAATAATACACAATTTTAATTTAGAAATTGAAAATGTTAATAGTGATACTTTTTAATTTTATTTTTATTTTCTTATCCAGCAGCCCCCAGAATCACAGCAGATTCAGAGAGACTCCCAATAGTGATACTTTAAATGAAATATGATTGAGTAAAGAAAATATCTGCCACATAATGAGAAGGAAAAGTTGACACCTAAATTTATGTTTATTTGGACAAGATGTATCAGTAAATCCTATTACCTTGGTTTTTATTATATATATTTTTCAAATCACATATTTCTCTACCTGTAAAGAATCCAAGTCCATAATGCTAAGATTTAGGCAACACTAGTGGCAAACATTCCAATTCCTGGTCATATCTGACAAAATAACTTCTTTCCTGAGTTATAGATTTTTTTAAAAAAGAAAGCACCAATTGTCACATCCCCAGTAAACATATTTCTAAGGTCAATTAAGCTTGCAATTCAGAATACAAAGGGAAAGATGTTTTGTTCATATCAATATAAACAGCCGTTGTTTATAAACTACACCAACTCTTGAAGGGCAAGAAAAAAAGGCTTAACTTTTGGTCATTCAACTAGAGTGAGCATTTAAGCTCCAACTAGACTTTTCTTTTTTGATAGAAATCTCTAGTTCTTCATTTTATCACTGAATCAAAAAATGCTGAAATGTTGCACAATAAAGTTTTCAGAATATACTCACTTCTCCAAAAGAGTAAGGGCTGTGTTTGGATTCACCCGAAGGTACTTAGAAGCTGGCTGTCCATAATCAGCTAGATAAGTAGACCAATCCCAAACCATAAACAGGTCAAGGAGCTGAGAAAGATGGGGTAACATAAAATGTGAAATTATTTACCCATAGTTAATACATAAATTAAGTATATGCTATCCTTGGTCCATTTTAATACGGCATGCTTTCTTAGATGAAACAGAATGAGGAGATTCATTTTTAAAACTTCATTAACTGCACTTTATAACCAAAATAGATCTTTTTACTTTGTTACTAAAAGTGCTAGGGGGTATTTTCTAGTAAAATACTTTGTGTTTTCAAATAATTGCAAAATAATTAAAACACTGTCAATAATATATATTAACCATTGTGCTGATGTATAGAAATTTTATCTTTATGCATTACTCAGCCAGTATCCAAATTTAATGAATAAAGTTTGCTGTACTACAACCTATACGAAGAATTTTAAAGAACTTAAATTGAACCTTTTTTACTCAGAGGTAAGTATGTTTACCTTTCAAAGGCGCTGTTTGCACCTAGACTTTTTCCAAAGTAATTTAAACCAAAAGCTCAGATAATCTCAATTAAGTGCATTAAACAACCTCTGCTGGATTCTCTCTGGTGATAGATCCTCGGTAGTGTTATGAAATGAGGGCTTCAGGATTCAGCCTAACTCTAGGCTACCATTTTGTGTAAACAAACAACAAAAAAGAAACCTTCGTTTCCCGTGGTGTCTTAAAATTGACTGTTTACTTTATAATCTCCAGTTAGAATCGTTGTCAAATATGGAAGTAATCTTTTAAAAGCAATGCCATGCCTAAACCAAAGCACCAAACTCTTTATCCAACTTTAAAACCCTAATCCCCTTTAAGCCATTTAAAACCAACTTCCTATCCCCATTTGAATTGTTTCAGAAAGTTAAATGCTTTACTTACTACCTTCCTTTAGTTTTTATATTCTTTTTGTTTTAACTCACTTTTTAAGTAAAGGGTCTTACTGATTTTGCTTTCAAATGGAGAAAACATTTGCATTTACTCTTGGGATATAAGAGCCACCACTGACTCTGAGAGGGATAAAACTCTGAGGTGATTAAAACTATAAAGAAAGGTTACCAGAAACTAGCTTTTCTTGGTGAAGGTAAAGAACTTGTTTGACTCTTTCCCCATCCAATTTAAAGGTATTAATAGAGCTTTTCTTGCAACAGGCAGAACATTGTATAATGAAAATATTGACCAATGAAAAGCCACTCTATTTTCTTTCAGACAAGATACCATTCTGGCCCATATCAAAAGTTGAAACACTGGGACAGAAGCTATAAGGAGACAATGTTAAAGAATACACTGTCTGAAAAAGAAAAGGGAACTTAAAGTTCTTTGTAATTTGTACCTGTTGTTTGGCCACATTTTCCCCTTCCTTCACAAAGAGGAAAAGTTACTTTCATACAATCAGATGGTAAGAATGTAAATTAGTATAACTTCTCTGGAATGTGATTCTGCAATGTGTTTAAGAACCTTATAAAAATGGCCATTCCCTTTGATTCAGTAACCCTATTTCTCAGAATGCAACTTCAGGAAACAGACAAAAATTTATGCACAAAGATATTAATCTAAAAAATGTTATTTGGGTTATCAAAAAACTGAAAAAAGCCTAAATCTCAATATTAAGAGACTAGTTCAGTAGTGAGGCATATCTGTATGATGACTATCATGTGGTTATTAAAATCAATGTTTACATTGAATTTTAAATAACTTGGGACAATGTTTATGATGAATATTGCTACTTAAGTTACATAAAAACCCATCCAAAAGGACTGGAAGAAAATCTGATAAAATGTTAAGAATGCTTGTTATAAGCTGGGCATGGTGGTGTGTTCCTGTAGTCCCAGCTACTCCGGAGACTGAGGTGGGAGAATCACTTGAGCCCAGGAGTTGAGAGTACAGCCTGGACATAATGAGACTTCACCTGTAAAATAATAATTTTTTAAAAAGAATGATTGTTATTTCTGTGATGAGATTAAGGTTAACTGTAATTTTTGTATTACTCTACAATGGATATGTGTTAATACTATAGTTATAAATAAGGTTTATAAATTTATATAGTAAAATAAATTTCAATAATGAACACCCCTCACAAAGTTGTCAATAGAAGCCTCATTTTCAAGGATTCTTCTTTCAGGTGTATGTTTGTATTTGCACAACTGTGCTTGTGCAATGCACGGAGTCAGCAGAAAGCAACCTCTTAAGGCTCTTTTTCTCTAGGCTGATTTACCCCCCAAGTGGGAAAGGAGGAGCCTACTTAATGAATGAAAAACCTGCACCAACTCCCACCGTGAATACAGAATTGATTCTTTTACAGCACAAAACTGGACTGTCTTAGATAAAAAAACACTATGCTTACAATGTTCACATATAGTCAGATACTCATATGCAAATCACTAGAAATTACGAGAACCACAAAATTAAACCTACTTGCCCATATGTAGACAAATCTAATCTATATGCTTTCATATTTACATTAATCTTTATTTATTATTAATTAATTTTTAAGACGTGGTTTTACCATGTTGGTCAGGCTGGTCTTGAACTCCCGACCTCAGGTGATCTGCCCACCTTGGCCTCCAACGTGCTTGGATTATAGGCGTGAGCTACTGCACCCGGCCTACATTAATCTTTATAAAAATATAGGCCAGGGGTGGTGGCTCATGCCTGTAATCCCAGCACTTTGGAGGCTGAGGTCAAGAGTTTGAGACCAACCTGATCACCATTGAGAAACCTCGTCTCCACTAAAAATACAAAAATTAGCCGGGTGTGGTAGCACATGCCTGTAATCCCAGCTACTCAGGAGGCTGAGGCAGGAGAATCGCTTGAACCCAGGAGGCGGAGGTTGCAGTAAGCCGAGATCACACCATTGCACTCCAGCCTGGGCAACAAGAGCAAGACTCCGTCACTCCATTTCTCTCTTTCTCTCTCGCTCCATACACACACACAGACACATAAACACACACACACACACACATATATATTTATAGAAATAAATATTGTGCACAGTTAATTTACAGATATCTGTAGAAATTTGTTTTGTTTTTTGAGATGGAGTTTAACTCTTGTTGCCCAAGCTGGAGTGCAATGGCGCAATCTCGGCTCACCGCAACCTGCAGCTCCTGAGTTCAGGTGATTCTCCTGCCTTAGCCTCCCCAGTAGCTGGAATTACAGGCATACGCCATCATGCCCGGCTAATTTTGTGTTTTTAGTAGAGATAGGGTTGCTCTGTATTGGTCAGGCTGGTCTCGAACTCCCAACCTCAGGCCTGCCTTGGCCTCCCAAAGTGTGGTAATTACAGGCATGACCTACCACACCCAGCCTCGAGTTTGCAAATTAATAGTTAAGGAATTCATTGCCAATGCAGATAAAAAGGCCAACCATCTAGATAAGATTCATTTATTTATTCCAAAAATATTGACTGCTCACCTATCATGTGTTAGATAGTGTGCTAGGTTAGGTACCAGAGATACAGTAATGGAACAAGACAAAATCTCTTTCCTCAAGGAGCTTACATTGCAAGGGAATAAAAAGTAATCATTTGAGTTAACATGGAAGAAATTATAAAGAAAAGCGATTCACACAGAATCCTAGTAATTTAAACTACAGTAATGCATGAGGAAGCTACTATAAGTTTAATACAGAATAAGAAACCATTAACTTATTAACTTATGTAGAAGCTGGTGAATGCTTACTCATTCCACTCTGTCTACCAATCCAATGGCTGAAGATCTAATGGCTAAGACATTTCCGTGTCTGTGTCCCAAAGACTACACATGAACATGGGCAGAGAGCAAAGATGGAGCCAGCAAGCATGTTGATCTCATATTCTTATTTCTCATTTTCATGTGTCTAAGAATTTTTCAAATGCATAGTACTGCTCAAACAAGTAAATAGAAACAAACTTCAAAGCTGGGCAGGCAAGCTCATAAAGTGTGTCTAGCACAATGTAACCACTGAGTAGCTATTTGAGAAATAACTGATTTATTGATGATGTCAGACCACTACTCCAAGTTTCCTTGGGAGCTTTTTTCTTAGGCTTCCTAAGTACAGACTACTTTGGCTTATTCTGATAGCTCTCTGAAAAAGGCCAGTGTTGGCTTGTAGGCAAACTATGCCAAGTGAATATAATGAAGTGACATCCCTCCATCTCTCCCAGCTTTTCATTGGGGTATTGATAAAGAGGAGAGATCCATCATGATATAGTATTGGGTCTAATGTTAAGTGAGTTAAATGATCTTCCTAGAGAAAGCAGCATTAATATTTCTGAATGGTTGACCAGTCTTCTTCATCCATAAGAATTACAAGGTCCCGCGGTGCCTCCTCGCTGGCCGTGCTCCTTCCCGGCACTGGCTTCTCTGAGCCACCAACCTGCGGCTGCCCCTGCTGCCTGCGCCCCCGGCAGCACCATGACAGATCAGGCCTTTGTGACACTGACCACAAACGATGCCTACGCCAAAGGTGCCCTGGTCTTGGACTCATCTCCGAAACAGCGCAGGACCACCAGGAAGCTGGTCATGTTTGCCACCCCACAGGTCTCAGACTCCATGAGAAAAGTTTTAGAGACAGTCTTTGATGAAGTCATTATGGTAGATGTCTTGGACAGTGGTGATTCTGCTCATCTAACCTTAATGAAGAGGCCAGAGTTGCGTGTCACGCTGACAAAGCTCCACTGCTGGTCACTCACACAGTATTCAAAATGTGTATTCATGGATGCAGGTACTCTGGTCCTAGCAAATATTGATGATCTTTTTGAGAAAGAAGAATTGTCAGTAGCACCAGACCCAGGGGGGGCCTGACTGCTTTAATTCCAGAGTTTTCGTTTATCAGCCTTCAGTTGAAACATATAATTGGCTGTTCGTCTTGCTTCTGAGCAAGGTAGTTTTGATGGTGGGGACCAAGGCATACTGAACACATTTTTTAGCAGCTGGGCAACAACAGATATCAGAAAACACCTGCCATTTATTTATAACCTAAGCAGCATCTCTATATATTCCTACCTCCCAGCATTTAAAGTGTTTGGTGCAAGTGCGAAAGTTGTGCATTTCCTGGGAAGAGTCAAACCATGGAATTATACTTATGATCCCAAAACAAAAAGTGTCAAAAGTGAGTCCCATGATCCCAACATGACTCATCCAGAGTTTCTTATCTTGTGGTGGAACATCTTTACTACCAACATTTTACCTCTACTTCAACAATTTGGCCTTGTCAAAGACACCTGCTCATACGTAAATGTGGAAGATGTCTCAGGAGCCATATCACATCTGTCCCTTGGGGAGATCCCAGCTATGGCACAGCCTTTTGTATCCTCGGAAGAACGGAAGGAGCGGTGGGAACAAGGCCAGGCCGATTACATGGGAGTAGATTCCTTTGACAACATCAAGAGGAAACTTGACACTTACCTCCAGTAGAAACACTGCATTTTACTGTGAACATATACACTTCACAAGCCTTTCTGATACTTAGTATCTAGAGCTGGGTTGAGAAAAGTCTGTTACAGTTGCTAGAGGTTTTCACTAAAACTTATCAGATGAGAGCTTTTTGTAGGACGAGAGGTGAGAACTGGGCAAAAGTTGTAAAGCAGCAATTCTGTTATATGGACAGTGTTCTGCTTTTTAATCCTATTTAGCTCATTTCAGAAATTCTTACTTTTGTTGACTGCCAACATACGAAGCAAGGGAAACTCAATATTAAGCTTTTAAGATGGCTATATCATTTCTTAAAATCTGCAGAGCCTGGTTCCAAATCAGTCACTCCCTTCAGAAGCAGATATTGCATCTGTTCCTTACTTGCTTGCTGGTTGTGCCTAACTTTCACTAGACCCACATTTTAGAATTGCCCAGTGCTGCTAGAATGAGTGATTGTAATTCTGCTTTCAGGTAAAGATAATCTATGTTAACACTGCCGAGTGATTCATAAACTATCAACGAATAGCATTAACCCATTTTATTTCCTGGTCCTAGTGTTTGAAGATGTTCACCAGTTTTCTATGTACAGTAAGGCAGCATGCTAAAATGCTTTTGTTCAGTTCTGCATATTTGAAAATAGCAGCGTGTTCTCTGATGGTTACCTGCAGTGGCACCCTGTACGGAAAATAAAGACTTATAGCCGTAAAAAAAAAAAAAAAAAAGAATTACAAGGTCATTTTTCACTTTTTAAAATATAGTTCTAGTAAAGTGAAGGATAAAATGGAAAACCAGGACTTTATTCCTAGGTCTTACCTAAAATTATGCCAGGCCAGATTTTATGGACCAAGCCCATTTCCACAGGCGGCTATCCATGCCTGTTCTGACCAAGAAGACCCTGGTCTTTGATTGGGATGACTTAAAAAGAACATGATTGCTCTGGAGTCAGTGTGATGGGAAGGAAAGAGGAAACTGGGGTGTTGCCAAGTACAAACGCTGATATTCGCCTTCGCTCCACCCCAACAGTATTGCGTTGTGGACTGCCTCTCACAATTGGTTAGGCTTCACAGGATGCACTATGTTCTTAATGCTAAGATCTACAGTATGAAAAATCTCACTTGTCTACTTCAAGTTTTGCTTCCTTCAGATGGCAATGCCCAAATAATACGTTTGTTATTAATCACCCAAAATCTCTTTCAGTCTTGTAAATAAACAGTAGGACATGGTCTCAACAGGTGAATTTATTAGTTAACACATATACCTAAAGTTCAAAGATGTAGATCAAACATGAACAAAAACAAAAATCTCCCCAGATTACCCAAAAGCAATTTTACAATTACTTATTAAAGGATAAAGTCAGGGATATGATAATGAAAATTGGCATTAAGTTCTTTAAATGGGTTTCTTCCAATAGTCAAGTAATGTAATTCTACCTTAAATCCTTTTGGGAAGTAAGCAAAGTATGGATGATATAAAAATGAAAAACCAAAATCATGTGCCTCAATTCTACCTCATCATGATTTATGAGATTATCTGAAATTAGTATCCCAAGTTTTTTTTTCACCAAGGATTTCAAAGTACCCTTCATAACTAATCTGATAACATAAAGTGGACATATGCCAATATTTGTAAGTGAGTTGTACTTTTCACTTCCTCAGCATTCCCTGTGTGTGTCCAGCAAACAAAAAGATCAGCTTAAGGAAAGAAGTGTTACATGGGTGGTCCCATTTATATGCTTAAAATAGTTGAATCACTTCAGAATTACTGAGGAATTCATTTGTGTCAACCCATTTAGCTTACTGACAGTTTCCCATCCTACAGACTCACTCTAGATCTATGCCCAAGGAACTTGGGGTCTCAGACCCGTTGAGATCACTTTATACAAACGACACAATGAATCTAGGCAGACTTAAAACTATTCTATGAAACGCTTGAAGTGACTTTTTGCCTTTTGTAAAAGTGAACCCACAGTGCCAGGTCATTTTTTCCTTGAATCTGTTTTAGCTTTCTTTGTTTTGGGTCTTTTGGGTTTTGCTTTTGAAGCACCTCAGGGGCAGTGACCCAGGACAGAAGATAAATAAAGTTAAGCCAACCTCAAGAGAAAAGCAACTGGGGATACCAGGTTTGCTTTTGTAAATGTGAACAGTGACCTGGGGACTCAGGGTCAACCTCAGTCCCCCAAGTTCCCTTTTCCAAACACTAAATCCACCTGGGACCTCATAGTTGCTTTGCGGATTCCAAAAGTAAACCAGGAGATCATTTTTCCTTTGCTTCCAAAAAACAAAGCTAAGGCCTGGGTTCCTAGAGTGTTCCAGAGATTTAAACAACAAAAGTCCTGGAGGAAAAAAAAAGTCCTAAACCCTAATACTGCTTAAAGAAAGAAATACTTGTCCTTCAAACAAATCCTGAGTAATTTGCCACTGGGAATTCAAGAAAAATGGGTCTTACTAAATTAGCTACATTGGAAAAAACTACAAGTCCTTTCTCTAAATACATAGTGAAGTCAAATGATGAGCTCCATCTGATTTTTAAAGCACTGGATTTGTCTTCCTTTCTAGCTATCTGAAAACACCACATTTGGAAAACTCCACATGTAGTACAGAAGAGAATTTTAAGTAGCAGCCAGAAGGAGCACAAGCAAAAACTACAATATAAAGAAGGAAAACAGTATTGTGCCTCCAGTCACCTCACTTTTTTGCCTTCAGATGTTAACTGCCTTCAAGCTACCTTCTGGATCTGATGCACCCTCACCCAAGCCTGCCCTCTTCCAATGTTCCATTTGCCAGACTTGTTCTTGGCCAGTCCTTCCACTCTCACCTCTGTGAGGACTAGGAGTGAGCTCTGAGCACTTCATGCTGAAGAAGCTGCTTAAAAAAAAATGATCTCTTTAAGTCACTTCACTCAGGTGAACTGTACACACAAAGGTAGAATGTTCTTAAAGTTGTTTTTATGACAAAGTAATGTAGAAGTCCTAGGTAACCTCTAGGTGGGTTTGGAATTTGAAGGGGAAAAAAAGAGGCACATAGTAAAATTTATGTAATTGGATTTATATACGTCCATATTTGCTTTATATTGATTTTTTTTTTTGGTCACTACTGTGGGTAAAACAACATATAGATATATAGGTGTGAATTTATGTGGTTAACTTATTAAAACTAATTTTATCAAATACATAGTTAATAATCAAATGGAGCATATCGTGAAACCAACAGTTCACTGCCCTACTCGGAAGTAACCACGTTTAACTCCTTACTTACTGTGATTTTTGTTGTTGTTGTTGTTGTTGTTGTTGTTGTTTTGAGACAGAGTCTCACCCTGTCACCCAGGCTGGAGTGCAGTGGTGCAATCTTGGCTCACTGCAACCTCCGTGTCCCAGGTTCAACCAATTCTTGTGCCTCAGCCTCCAAAGCAACTGAGACTATAGGCGCAGACCACCATGCCCAGCTAATTTTTGTGTTTTTTTGTAGAGATGGGGTTTTGCCATGTTGCCCAGGCTGGTCTTGAACTCCTGGCCTCAAATGATTCACCTGCCTCGGCCTCCCAAAGTGCTGGGATTGCAGGTGTGAGCCACCATGCCCCTACTTTAACACCTTTTTTAGTTCTAGTGATTATCTCACTATCCCTAATAGGCTTATTTTTCTGATTTTGAATTTATTATTTTATAGCTATCACATATGAGAGTTTCCCTTACTTTATACCAGCTCTCTACTTGGGTAGCTATCTTACCATTTTTGTCTATTTTTGTTTCTATAACTTTAATACAATTAAACCTCTATTTCTTGTTACATCACTTTTAAAGTTTTGTTTTTTAAAACAGCTTTGAGATGTAGCATACAGTTCACTCATTTAAAGGGTACAAATCAATGGTTCTGACTCTATTCACAGAACTGTGCAATCAACTCAATCAATTTTAGAGCTCCTGAAAGAATTACTATAGCCATTAGCAATCACTCTCCAAATGGGAATCAACACAACATTTGGTCTTCTGGCCTGGCATGGTGGCTCACACCTGTAAACCTAGCATTTTGGGAGGCTAAGGCTAGAGACTAGGAGTTTGAGACCAGCCTGGGCAACATCACAAGACCCTGCCTCTATATACAATTAAAAAATTAGCTGCTGTGGTGGTGCACACCTGTAGTCCCACCTACTTGGGAGGCTTAGGTGGGAGGCTAGCTTGAGTCCAGAAATTGGAGGCTGCAGTGAGCTATGAACTGTACTATAGAATGGGTAGCAGAGCAAGACCCTGCCTCTATTTAAAGCAAAACAAAACAAAACCACATGGTCTTTTGTAACTGGCTTCTTTTGCTTAAACATGTTTTCAAGGTTCATCATGTCGTAGCATGCATTATCACTCATTCCTTTTTAATTGACAAATAATAATGTATTCTATAAATATACCACACCTTGTTTATCCAATCATCAGTTGATGGACATTTGAGTTTATCTTTTTGGCTATTAAAAATAATGCTGCTATTAACATTTATGTACAAGGTTTTTGTAGAAAACTGTTTTCATTTCTCTTGGGTATATATCTAGGAGTAGAATTTTGTTATATAAACTGTTTTTTCTTTTTGAGATGGAGTCCTACTTTGTCACTCAGGCTGGAATACACTGGCACGATCTTGGCTCACTGCAACCTCCAATTCCAATTCCCGGGTTCAAATGATTCTCTCGCCTCAGCCTCCCCATTAGTTGGGATTACAGGCAACTGCCACAACACCTGGCTATTTTTTTTATATTTTTAATAGAGACAGGGTTTCTCCATGTTGGCCAGGCTGGTCTGAAACTTCTGACCTCAGGTGATCCACCCACCTCGGCCTTCCAAAGTGTTGGGATTAGAGGCATGAACCACGACACCTGGCCCTGTATAAACTTTGAATAGGATCTTCTGACTTTCCATTTAGTGATATAACATTATATGCCTTATGTAGAGTTTTAAAATAATTCTTTTGTCAATCGGGGTAGAATACTTATATAATGTATTTAAACCCAAATGACAAATAGATATTTGATTAAAGTCTCCTGAAAGTTCTTTATGAATTCAGAAAGATGTGAGTATGTACTTGTGTGTGTGTTTGTGTGTGTGTGTGTGAGAGAGAGATAGAGAGAGAGAGAGAGAGAGAGAGAGAGAGAGAGAGAGAGAGAGAGAGAGAGAGAGAGAGAGAGAGAAAGGCATCTTGTTCTGTCACCCAGGCTGGATGCAGTGGTATGATCTCGGCTCACTGCAACCTCCACCTCCTGGGCTTCAGTGATTATTCTGCCTCAGCCTCCTGAGTAGCTGGGATTACAGGCACATGCCACCACCCCAGCTAACTGTTGTATTTTTAGTAGAGACAGGATTTCACCATGTTGTCCAAGCTGGTCTCAAAGTCCTGACCTTAGGTGATCTGCCTGCCTCAGCCTCCCAAAGTGCTAGGATTACAGGCATGAGCCACTATGCCCAGCCAATGTTGATAAATTCTTACTAAGAATTTTTTAATCTGTTTTTGAAAAACAATAAAAATCTACAATTATTCAATAGAAGAAAGAACCTGTCATGTAATTTCCTCAAGTAGATTCACTTCAAATAGTTGACTGTGACTTAGATTTTTATAACACACACCACATGCACACACAGAAACACACACACAGGCATGGCTTGTTTCTCTTAAGTGTACTGAACATAAGAGTTCAGCTTCCTGACATTGTAAGGTAGGTGATAAATGAGGCAGTAGTA